GGCGCCGCGATCGCAGACCCAAACATGACCCTGCCAGAGCTTGTGGCGGACGGCGAGGCGAGGCCGCCCGATGCGGAGATCGCTGCCCGCTGCGCAGGCGGGTGGCGCCGCTGGCTGGCTGGCTGCTGGCTGGCTGGCTTGCAGGAGCCCGCTGGCGGGGGCGGCAGCCGGAGCGCGGGGCGAGCCTGTGGGGTGCCTGGCATCATGCCTGCCGCGACTGCCTGCCTGCTGGCCTCGCCAGGCGCCTGTGCCCGCTCAGCTCCCCAGCCCGGAGCGCCTGCCAGTCCGCGCAGCGCTGAGCCTCCCCACCCCTCCCACCGCGGCCTGCCGGCCTCCTCCCGCCTCCCCCTCGCCTCTGCAGAGGTGACGCCTCCCGCGCTGCAGGCGCTGGGGCCGCACGTGGCGCCGCTGGGCCTCGCCTACTGGCCCGCACCGGGCGGCGGCGGCATCTCCGCCGGGGTGCAGCGGTGGCCCGCCCGCTACGACGGCAGCTTCTTCAACGCGCAGCACGGCTCCTGGAACCGAGAGGTGAGGCGGCGCTGAGGTGGCGCCGAGGTGGCGCTGAGGTGGCGCCGAGGTGGCGCAAGCGGCGCCTGGCTCCAGCCAGGCTGGCTGGCTGGCTGGCTGGCCGGCCAGCCGGTGAACGCTTCTTGTTGCAGCAGCCGCAAGTGGTGCGGCGGGCATTGCACGGCAAGACGCAGCGCCGCCGCGGCTGCGAGCTTGGGCACGGGCCATTTGCCATCGCGAGGCCTCCTCCTGCTGCCTGCCGCCTGCCTGGCAGCTTCCACCTGGCAGCTGGCAGCTGGCACCTGCCACCTGCTAGCCCAGATTTAACATGCCGGCAGTGGCAGCCCATCTGCCCATCAGCACCAGCTCCGCCCCCGGCGCAGGAGCCCATTGGTTACCGGGTGATGAATGTGGCGGTGAACGCCACCCCCGGCGGCGGCCTCGCCTCCCGGCGCTACTCCCTCTTCGCCTCTGGCTGGCTGCGCCCCGACGGCACCTCGTGGGGCCGCCCCACGGGCCTGGCCCGCCTGCCAGACGGCTCCCTGCTGCTGGGAGACAACCGGGCGAACTGCGTGTACCGCATCTGGTACCGCCCGCCCAGCCCACCGCCCAGGCCACCCAGGTAAGCTGGCCCCCTCTGGCACAACATGGGCTGGGTGTGGTGCAGTGCAGGTGGGGGGAGGGGCTTCCAAGCGCTGCTTGTGCTGCCGCGCAGCACTCACTGAGATGCATTAGCCACCTGGCAAGCAGGCGTCGCTGCTGCTCGCATCCTCATGCCCGTCGCTCCACCATTCCAGGCCGCCCAAGCCGCCGCCGCCTTCGCCCAGGCCGCCGCGCCCGCCGCCCTCCCCCCGGCCGCCCAGGCCGCCGCCACCTTCGCCCACGCCGCCGCGCCCGCCGCCCTCCCCGACTCCCCTCATGCCTGGGGTGTACACCCTTCAGCTGGTGGGCAGGTCAGCCTGTGCCATCAGAGGTGAGGGGGCAGGCTGTGTCTGGGGGTCAGGGTTTTTCCTGCCTCCTGTTCTGGTGACCGCGAGCGGTCTGGGTGAGGGGCTGCACCATCCAGTGTTGAGGTTTGTACTGCACAGAACCTGCGCCTGGCAGGGAAGGTACTGTGGCAGCACAACTGCGCCCGCCTGTAGTGAGGCACGGCGGGAGAGGCTGCTGCTGCTGCTGCTGCGCCTGGCGAGGATGGGTGCATGCCTGGGGGCCGGCGCCTCCCCCCGGGGCGCCACGCATTCACACTGGAAGCCGGCTTGCTGACCTGGCAGGGAATGCGAGGGCCAGGCAGGCGTGCGGTGGCGGGGTGGCGAGCAACATCACTCTGTCCACCTCAACCACCCCTACCAGCCTTGCCTTCCAGGTGCTGCCGCGCTGTTGCTGGTGGTGGTGGTGGTGGTGTTGCTGCAGCTGCTGCTGTGGTGTGCCTTGCATGCATGCTTGCCCTGCTGCTTGCCCTGCTGCTGCCGCAGCGGCGGCGCCACCGCGTGTGCATGCGTGCTCGCCCTGCTGCTGCTGCTGCTGCTGGCGGGTGCCAGCCTGCGTGCTTGGAGTCGTGCGCTGCCACCTGTCACCCTCTCCCCGCCGCCCCTCTCCCTCCCGGCTGCCTGCAGCGGTGGATCATCAGCATCGCAGCGGGCTCGCCAGGAACCGGCGGCATTGTCGGCCCTTCTGTGTCGCTCCGCAGCGCTGGCCGCGCCACCACCGGATGCACAACCTCCTATGCCGCCGCCGCCGCCTGCGGGGTGAGCCCCACGGCGCGGCTGACCGCCGCCGCGGGCGCTTCTGCGCTGTGGAAGCTGGAGGCGGGACCAGGCGGGACCTTCCACATCCTGTCCCTGGTGAGGCAGGCTCAGACAATGGGGGTGGCTGCCCAGCTTCCCTCATAGCTTCCGCTGCTTGCAAAGCCGCTAACCAACGAACTGTAGACCTGCCACTCAGCTGCGCATGGCCCCTTCAGCCACGCTGTTACGCTGGTGATGCTGCAGGCCCGCACCGGTTGCAGCCAGCAGTACCTCGGCATCTCAAGCACCTGCTCCGTCGCCGTCCTGGGGCTGTATGCGAAGGGCGGCAGCGTGGCGGTGCAGTGGAGGCTGGCAAAGGTGCCTTGAAGCGCCTGTAGACACCAAATACTCGCTGCGATTCTCTTTTCTTTCCATGTTGCGATGCGATGAGGCAGGGCGTGCTAAGTGGCGGCAAGCCAGACGTGCGCGGGCTGGTCCCGCTGTGTTGCAGCGGCGCCCGATCCGGCATGCCCATGCCATCAGCAATCTTGATTTGAATACCCGTTTACCAGTTTGTACCTGTTTGAGTTATCTGTTTCAACATGTGGATGCTAAATTGCAGAAGGGTATTGCACTGACGTGCAGCAACAAGCGCGCGTAACCGCCGCTGGTGTGCCAACAAACGTGTGCCATCCAACGCTGGCAGCCCTTGCATGAAATGCTCAGCTACAGAACCTGCGTCACTGATCAGCTGAAACGTGCATTGGCTCCCTCGCGCTGTTGGCAGCAGCTTACGCACTTTACTGCCAGTGCAGGATGGCGCAAGGCGGCAGACGCGGCGGCGGCAGGGGGTCAGCTGCAGCCTCCGCGCTCGCAGGCGAGGCCTGTTGTCGCTGCCAGCCCAGCCTGCCACTGCTAGCTGAAACGCGTAGCTGAAGCCAGCTGCCGCGGCGGCAGGAAGGGGCCTGCGCGTTGGGGGCCCAAATGGCAGTTGCCAGGTGCGGCCGCTCGGGAAAGCTCCCGAATCGAATTGCTGGTGGCAGCAGCGAGAGCCGCACGCTTCGGGGGTCGCAAGCGGAAGCGGAGCTGTCGCCCAACTGCTGCGCTGTGCTGCGCGCCCACCCGTTTCCTCCTCCTGCAAAGCGGGTCGCCTGGCTTAATATTTTGTCGCCCTGTATTCCACCGCAGTACCGTGCAGCAGGGCGGGGGCTCTGCGGTGAGTCGGTGGCAACCTGGCATCCGCAGCAGAGATCCGACTTGCTGGCCGCTGGAGGAGGCTGGCAGTGAGGATGTGGAGTCCCACCAAGGCAAAGGGAGCGGCAGCCGCCAAGAAGTGAGCCGCCGCAACAGCCGGCTGCCTCCTGTCTGTCGGCAGGCGGCGGCATCTTTGCCCCAGTTGAATGGCGCGGCTTGCTGGAGCGTGTTGTAGAAGGGCTGCTTTGCAACTGACAGGCATAGCATGCGTGTTTGCCCTGCAGGCCCGAGCAGCAGCTCTTCCTCGCCGCCGTGTACGCGCTCTGCCTCGCCGCCGCCGTCGTGGGCCTTGCCCGCACACAGTGAGCGGCTGGCTGCAGCTGGCCAGGGATGGTTGTCACTGCGCATGCAGCACATGGTCAGCCGGGGTGCATCCCGCTGGTCCCCTCGCCACATGAAGCAGCGGCACGCCCGCACAGGTTGCCGCTGCCGCTGCCGCCCGCGTCTCTCTCCACCATGCCGCCTTGCTCATGCACTTGTCCGCCCTGCTGCTGCCCAGCCTCCCTAACCCCACCCCACCCTACCATCCCCCCCCTCCCGCCGCCGCCTGCCCGCAGCCTGCTGCACAACTTCCGCGCCTCCCCGCTGTGCGACGGCGCCAGCTGCTCCGTCTCCTCCTCGCTGCGCGGCGCCCAGCAGCTGCTGCGCGAGGCGGCCCGCAAGGTGGCGGCGCAGCACTCTGAAGCCATGGCCCTGGGCATCCCCGTGCAGCGCCTCAAGTACGAGAAAAGCATGGCCGGCGCGCCTTCTGGCGGCGGAGAGGACGAGGAGGAGGAGGGCGGCGGCGCGGACGCGGTGTTGGAAGAGGTGGAAGAGGAGCTCGCGGCGGCGGGGGCCGACGGCCGCAGCCAGCCTGCCGGCACGCAGCGGAGCGAGGAGGAGGAGGAGCAGGAGGAGCAGGAGGTCGAGGCCGGCAGCTCGAGGCAGGAGCCACCGGGCGGCGATGAGGAGGGGGCGGAAGGGGAGGAGGAGGAGGAGGAGGCCGGCCGCACGTCGGCGCCCTCTCCCTACCAGCTGGCAGTAGAGGACTGTGCCGACCTGGCCTGCCTCAGCAAGGCGGGCAGGCTGGGCATGCACCCCGGCCAGTTCCGCTTCCCCAGCTTCTTCATCGTCGGCTGGCAGGCAAGGAGGGAGCCAGCGGCGGCGGGCCGCCGCCGCGCTGCCGGGGCGCACCGCGGGGCGGGGTCGCCGAGCCTGCCGCCTGTGCATGCACCGGGCTGCGCCGTGTGCTGTGCCGTGTGCTACCCGGGGCCGTTGGGCCCGCCGACGGCAGCCTTGTGCACCCATGCGTGCCGTGGGGCCCAACCACGCAAGCCGACTCCCGCCCCCGCTCGCCATGCCCCCACTCTCATACCCGCCCGCCTGCCTGCAGAAGTGCGCCACCACCTCGCTGTTCTGGCACCTCAAGAACCATCCGCAGGTTCTGGCAGCAGACAACAAGGTGAGAGCGCGGTGTGGTGTGGATGGTGGAGGGGTGGGGAAGGGAGCGGTGCGCCCGCTGGATGCCCCACCCCGCCTGACTGGGCTCGCACACGGTGCCCACCCGCCGGCGACCCCTTGCCGATCCCCCGCCTGCCCAGCGGCCTGCACGGCGCCTGCCCCTGCCTGCCTGCCTGCCTCTGATGCCTGCCTGCCCCCACCTGATACCTGGCTGCCTCTGATGCCCGCCTGCCTGCCTGCCTTTAATGCCCGCTTGCCCGCCTCTGCCTGCACCCTCTGCCTGCCTCGGCTGTCTCCAGGAGCCCGAGTTCTTCAGCGACGACTGCGGCTACGACCCGGCCGCCTGCAGCAGGAAGGACACGCGCCGCTACCTGTTCGATGTGGGTGGCTGGGCGGCGGGCGGGTTGGGCGGCAGGGTGTGGGGCGCAGGGCGCGTGCGTGCTCTCCTGTGCGTGTGAGAGAGTGGTTGGGGGTGGCCGCCGAGGCGGTAGGTGGGGGGTGGCACGGGCTGCGCTGCGCCTCCCCATGGCCAGCGCCACACTGCTCCTGCCGCCCATGCCCGTGGCCGCTGCAGACAATGAGGCTGGGAGAGGCGGTGGAGGGCGGCATGCGTGCGGCGGCGGTGGAGGCATCCACCCATTACGGCCGCAACGGCCACCTGCTGGCGGCGCCGGTGTACGAGGCGAGCCCCCTCTCTTTGCCTTCATGTACATGCCCGCCGTGCCTGCCTGCGCCTGCTGCTGGTTTCAGTGACCTGGAGCGTGCAGCACGCGACTGCAACACACGCCGGGCCGGCCGGCCGCTCAGGCGCTGCCAGTCATGCCTTGCATCGTGCCGCACGGGGCCGGCGCGGTGGTGGTGGCGTGCGGCGACCCGTTGGCCTGCTGCCTGCCATGCCTGCCTGCCCGCTCCCGGCCGCCTGACCCGCCCGCCCGCCTCCCTGCCTGCCTGCAGGTCTTCCCCTGGCTCAAGGTCATCATTTCCATGCGGGAGCCCATCAGGTGGGGGGATGCCTGGGGATGATGGGGAGCGGGTGCAGAGATGCGGCAGGGCAGAGCAGCCAGCCACGAGCCGGAACGGGTGCACGTGCTGGGGGAAGGTGCAGCGCTTGCCGTTACAACCCGTGCCACAGCCCGGCCCTGCCTCCCCTCCGCCTGCAGCCGTGCCATCTCCATGCTTGCGCACAACCTGGACAAGCACGGGTCGGGCTGCCTCACCAAGTGAGAGGGCGGGAGGACTGGCTGACTGGCGGGTGTCCAGGCACAGTCGCCTGCCGTCGGCGGCGCCATTCTTCATGCAGCCACGTCGCCATGCATGCATGCTTGCCCAGCCCGGCAGCTGCCTGCCCCCCCACCTGCCTGCCGTGCCGCAGGGACAGCGTGTTCAAGTGCCTGGAGCGGGACCTGCAGCGGGACACGTACGGCAGGCCCTTTGCCGCCTGGCTGGACGCATACCCGCCAGACCAGGTCTTCCTCATCCAGGTGGGTGGGCAGCCGCATTCTTTCTACTTCTTTCTTCTTCTTCGGGGTGCCTGGGTGGGCAGCGGTGTGGGCGGCAGGTGGGCAAGGAGCTGGGCAGGCGTATTGGCTTCTTCTTCTTCTCCTTCTTCTGCTTTTCCTGCTGGGCGGCCGGTTGGGCGGCGGGTGGGCGGGGCGGCGCGTGCGCGAGGAGCAGCATGTGGGGGCAGGCTTCTGCTGCGTGCTGGGGCGGAGGCCCGCAGGGGCCCACGCTGTGCTGACCCGGTCGGCTTCTCTGCGCGCTGTGGTTGGCGTGATAAAACTGTACCATTCCTACGCCTGCAGTACGAGAACATCACCTCCACCGCCCATGGCTCCGACGTGCTGCATGCAATCAAGAAGTGAGCGCTGCCCTGGCACCCGCCCGCTGCTGCAGACCTGCCCCCCAGCGCCGCCCCCGCCCCTGCGTGCCTGCCCTGTCACCCCTGCCCCACGCACTCCCCGCATCCCTGCCGCCTGCCCGCCCGTCCTCCTGCCCTGCCCATCCTGACCCGCTCCCCCCACTCTCCTCGCCCGCCGCCACCTTCCCCTTCCACGCCACCCCACCCACCCCATCACCACACCACCACCACCACCACACACCATCACTGGCAGCCGCCTGGGGATCGACCCAGAGCTGCCCGGCTCCGACCTGGGCATCCGCAACACGCGGGAGTACCACCTGATGCGCAAGGGGGAGCTCAAGGAGGGGGAGCAGGTGCGGCGCGCCGCCTGCTGCGGTGGGGCGCCTGCTGGGGCGCCGGGCCCTGCCGCTGGTCCGCCGCCCGGCCCGGCCAAAGCGTGCATGCCGGCCGGCCAACGGGGCGAGGGAATGGGGGGGTGCCCGCCCGCCTCCCCGCGCCGCCTCCCTGCCATGCGCCCCTCCCCGCCGGCGGCTGAGCGCTGCGTTCCTGTCCTGCTGTCCCGCTGCTTCCCTCCCCGCAGGCCGATGGCTGGCCCATGAAGAAGTGGCAGTACCAGTCGCTGGTGGACATGGTACGGCCGGACGCACAAACGTGAGGCGCGCTGCACGGGCTCCGTAGCACGAGGCGGGCTCTGCACGAGGCGGCTGGGCGGGCTCTGCACACGCCGCCGGCAGTTGCGGCCGCCGGCTGCCGCGCCGCGCAGGCGCCACGGGGGAGGCAGGCCTGGGGCGGCTGCCGCCGTGCCGCCTCCGGCTGCTCGCCGGCCGGCTGGTCCCTTCCTGCCCGGGGGCTGCTTTGTGGCTGGCTGGCTGGCTGATGAGTTGAGCGCCGCGGCACGCCTGCACTGTGTGCGCCTGTGCTGCAGGGTGGCTGACCTGGCTGACCGGCACGGCCTGGCTGACGGCAGGCAGTGGATGCGGAACTGGGAGGCAGAGTGGAAGGTGGGCTGAGGTGGCGGGTGGCGCCTCCCGAGCGGACTGGCAGCATGACGTGCTTGTGCGTGCGTGCTTGAAGACTGGGTTGAGCAGGAGCAAGCGTGGTGTGGCGCCTGGTCGTGAAGGGGGCCGAGGCTGGGCAGGGGTTGGTTGAAGAGTTGGTGCGACGCGTGTGGGGGCGGCTCCAGGGCACGCACGCCCTGTGCGTGTGCGGCAGCAGCCTCTCGGTGGTGCCTGAGATGCCTCCGCCGCCTGCGCCCTGCAGGCGACGCTGGAGGAGTGCGGCGCCGACGGCAACTGCGTCGTGTTCCCGAACTGAGCACAACCCCTCGATAGGTACCTAACTGACAGCACGGCCCCTGACTGACAGTCGGGGTCTTTCTAGCCCTAGCCAGCAGCCAGCCACACAGGCCACTTGCCTAGCGGGGATAATCTCAGCCAGCCAGCCAGCTACAGGACTGAACAGGTGTCGTCCTACAAGTGTTTTTCACGCCCAATAAGCAGCGTGCCAAGCCGCCGATTGCTCCATTGGCTTGCGCCGCCTTGTGCCCTGCTCCCGCCCCCTTCTTGCTTTCATCTCATCTCTGACGCCGCCAACCCCGATGGGGGCACACCCGCTGCGCTTGCCAAGTGCATGCCAGCTCCCGCCCTCTGCAACCCAAGCACTGATTTTTGGGGGTGCACCTTGACCATGCGGTCACGTGGCGCATCAGACTCTCTCTTCCTGGTTTAAGCCTGACCCTGCCAGAACAAAGGTCCGTTCAATTACTAATTGCATGGCTGTGTAAACTAGCAGCATGCAGGACCGAAACCCAAGGAGGCACGGGCAAGCCACGGGCAAGCCTGGGCGACCGGATCCAGCCAGCCGGCCAGTCCTCATCCCCGCCCCCCACTCAGTCCTCCACCGCCATCCGCCCGCCGGCCGCCTGCTGGTCGCACAAATCGCGGTACAGCTCCTGCAGGCGCTGCACTAGGGGGCCACGCCGCCCGGTACCGATGGTGCGCCCATCCACCTCCCGCACCGGGATCTGTCCTGCAAAGGTGCCCGTCACAAAGGCCTCGCTGGCTGAGTAGACCTGCATGGGGCAGGGCAAGGGCGTGGCACGGCGGGACCGTACTGTGTACTGCTCGGGGGGGTCTGCGCATGGCGGTGTGTGCGTAAGTGTTGTGGTCGTGTGCTGCGGCGGCGAGGCGCAGCAGTAGCAGGCGCTCGGGGGGGGGGGGGGGGGGGGGAGGGGCCGGTGCCGCGGCAGCGCACCGTTGTGAGCGAGAAGTCTGCCTCTCGCACGGGAATGGAGTGCTGGGTGCACAGCTGCAGCACCTTGCTGCGCGTGATGCCAGGCATCTGGTACTTGGCGGTCGGGGCCCACACCTGCGCCCGAGCCAGCCAGCAGCGCGGCCGCGCAGGGGGAGGCTGGGAGGCTGCCGTGGCCGGCGCAGGGCAGGCGCCGGCCTGCCCCTCCATGCAAGGTACTGCCTCGCACACACACGCTGCTCGACCCCGGCATGTATTTTTTCCGCCACCTCCCCCTATTACAACACGCGCCGCCTGTTCCCGCCCCGTCCCTTCCCTGGTTGCCTCCCATTACATACATTAATACAAAAAAATACCACCCACCTCTCCTTTCCTCACTGCGAAGAAGTTGGTGGAATTGCAGGTGGCCACAAAGCCGTGCGGGTCCAGCATCAGCGCCTCGTCAGCGCCCGCCTTGCTGGCCTGCGGCGGCGCGCGCGGGAGGCGGCGGCGCAGGGGCCCATGATGGCAACACAGCACAGGCGGCAGAGGTGGTCACGCGTTCTGCTGCTGCGTTGCCCTCCTGCTGCTGCGTGCTGCTACGTGCATGCTGCTGCGTATTATCGACAGGAGGAGTTGGCGGGGCAGCCACCAACCAAAGTAAGGGCCCCAGGTAAGGTCCCGGCAGGCGCGGCCTGGCCGGCCCCAGCCTGGCGGCAGCGGCTGCAGCACGGCGTGCCTGGATGCAGGCTGCGATGCAGTTGAGCTTGCTGTGGCTGTTCCAGGCGGGGTCCTGCACGTCGGGCGCCCCCCGCCGCACGTGGCAGGTGAAGAGGCGGATGCCTGCCTCCTGCGGCGATAGGAGAGCGGGCGGGCAGGAGGGCAGGCAGGCAAGGCGGTGGGCGGGCTGGGCAGGCAGGCGAGCACCGGGGGTGGCACACCTGGGCAGCTCACACGAGAGATGGGCGGCTGTTTTGAGGCAGGCAGGCGGGCGGGCAGGCAGGCGGGCAGGCAGGCGGGCGGGCGGGCAGGCAGGTGTGCGGGCGGGCAGGCGTGGCGAGCGGGCAGGCAGGTTAGCGGGCAGTCAGGCGGGCAGGCGGGCAGGCAGGCAGCAACCACAGCATGCACAGCGCAAGCCCCACCTTGGGCCCCGCCGCCGCCCGCTTGTGCTCAGGGATGATGACGATGGTGGGGCTCCCCAGTGTGATATTGGGGTTCTGATAAGGGGTGGGCTTCAGGCCCCGCGTCACCTGTGCAGCCAGCGCCACGCGGCAGGCAGTCGGTCGCCAGCATGGCAGCGGCGAGGGGCATCGCACGCGGCTGGCCTCGCCGCCGCAGCGGCGGCGATGGTCGGCGCCGTCGATGGGGGCGGGCAGAGTGTGGGGCATGAAACAGGGCAGGCGATGGGCAGGGGAGCAGAGCAGGGGGAGCGGGGTAGTGGGGGCGGGGCAGGGAGGGAGGGCAGGGCGAGCGCCGCACCATGAGGCGGATGTGAACGTCGTCTGCCATGCCATTCGCATCCACTGTGTTGTACACCAGCTGCGCCAGCTGCTGCTTGGACAGGCCTGCGGGGGCGCGGGGGCAGCGCGGGAGGCGACGAGGCAACGGCGCATGTGGGCGCGTGCCGGGGATGCGGCGAGGTGGGGTGCGGCTCGCTGCCTTGCGGCCCTCGTTTCTGCCCGCCTGGCTGCAATGCAGACAGGTTGCAAGGGGTCAGCCCGCCGCCCACCGATGTCCATGTCTATAGCTTTGGCCCCTTCATACAGCCGGTCCATGTGTTCCTGCAGTACCATGCCAGGCGGTACCGCATCAGACCACACCGCATTAGGCAGCGCACAAGTTCAGACAGTGTTCCCCGGGTGCCATCCTGGCTGCCAGCTGGCAGCAACAGCCGCTGCCGCTGGATCCGGCCCCTTGCCTGTATGAACAGCAGCACGCCGCGGTGCAGGCGCAGCCCCTCCCACACGCCGTCCCCCAGCATGAAGCCGCTGTCCAAAACAGACACCTTTGCCTCTGGGCGCCACACAAGGTCAAAGGCGCCTGCAGGGGGGGAGCACACAGGGAGGCTGTCGGCAGCGCGTGTGTGGGAGACGGGCAACGGGCATGGGTCCTCCTCAGAGCGGCAGCGGCAGCGGCGCGTAGCCGCTGCCGGCACGAGCGGCTGCGCTGGCGGCATCGCCCCGCGACGCAGCCCTGGCTGATCATCAGAATGTCTTCGTCGAAGGGCAGCAGCAGCGGGGCGGGGGGTGAGCACACCCGTCACTCCGTCTCGCATGCCGATCAGGATGTCTTGGTTCCGAGGGTCGTCGAGGTGTGCGTGTGTGCCGCTGTGCTGCTTCTCGCCCGCCCCGGGAGGCGCGCCACCCGCCAAAACCGCCGCCGCCTGCTGCCCTCCGTCGCTACCCCTGCTGCCGCCGCTGCTGGTGGTGCACAGGGGGCGCGGCACGGGAGCAGCGGCATCCGCGGCGCTAAGGGGTTTCAGGGCGTGGCGCCGCAGCAGCGCATACAGCGGGCGGCACTCCTCCAGCAGCGGCTTGAGGTGGTCGGGCAGCTGCTTGGGCCGCCGCGGCTGCTGCTCCTGGTCCTGCTGCTGCTCCTGCTGTTCCTGGTGCTGCTGCTGCGCCTGCGCCATCTGCCCATTGGTGGAACCTGACCGCTCGAATCCTGCACAACAGGCGGCCAGGGAGCAGGCGACTGAGAACAGCACGGCTGGCAGGGACCATGGCGGCAGCTGCACCGACGCCGACAGCTTGCTTGCGGAGGAATGCGGGCGCTGAGGCCGCTTGCTGCAGCCTGCACGCCTGTGCTCTTGTGCGTCTGCCCGTACCACCAAGGCGCCCACACGCCGTCGTAAGGCTTGGGCCCCGCCTGCCAGCTCAGCATCTGCGGCTGGAAGGGGAGGTCCAGGGCGGCGCACAGCGCGCGCAGCATGCCCTCTGGATCCCGCACCAGATCGTCAGACAGCACCACCGGCGGCGGCCGCCTGCAGGCAATGAATGCAGGGGCCGCACAAGTGCGGCGCATGCTGTATTGGTTGATGCCGAGGGCTGACGCGTGCTGCCCGCTGCACGGCAAGAGCTATAGCCACCATGGCCCGGGACGCTGCTGGCAGGCAGGGCCTGCAGCATCCCGAAACGCAGCATGCATGGCAGAGCCGTGGGCTGGCG